TTTTAGTTTTAGTCAAATGATTTATTTTAGTTAATAAAACATATCAGGTAGGAGGACAACAAAGCATATAGACAGCAGCTAATATAACACAACAGAATTCTGAAATGTTAAAAAAGCCATTCTTTACCGTCACTACCTCTTATGTTTTCCAGAGACTGACAAACTCTGGATAAAATATGCTTTAATAGGCAATCTTCATCTCCAAAGTTGTGTGAAAAGTTCCATGCTGCAATCTAGTCATAACCAATGGAAGTAAATAAAAACATAAAAATCGAGGACAGAAATAATACAATAAATGACTGGATCTCAAAACCTGCTTAGGAGAAACCACAGACCCTTCAACTGGTGATCTAAGGGATGTGCCAATGATTGCAAATATTTTGTGAGAAAACATAACAAATCTACCTTTTTTATTCTTCAATCCCCTCAATTATATGTCTGCAATATGACTAAAAGGAAATTAAATAGACACGCAGTACATAAAATACAGCAGGAGATGGGGAATTAAGCACAGTATGTCAAGAATCTAGGTTTCCTTCATGGGGGTCATTTTAAAACAGTTTTGTGAATTTAGCGCTTTATGTTTTTTCTTTCACTCTTATCTCCAGGTTAAATACGAATCTTGGTTCCCATCCCCACAAAAAAGGTAAGGTATTAATTAGTCCATATGTTCCCATAATAGTTAGGTTAGGCAAGAATAAAAATATTTCATATTTACGGGGCAGTCCTCTGCTGCAGCTACAGGTACAGAATTAGTACTGGGATAGAAAAGCCTAAGAAGCCTCTGGTTGCCCTTACTCCTGAGACTATAAGGCAAACACACAAAAAGAAAGGCCACATTTCATAGATTCTACTTATGAGCTAGTTTTCCCTAGAGATCAACTGGAAACTCACATTTCTTAATTTGGAGCAACAGAAATGTATTAGAAATAGCACGCAGCTCTTCACTGCAGAAAGTGTGGCTCGCGAAGTGTACCCCGTAGCTCGCAAAGCCCCCCTGTGTCCCTACAAAGGGCCACTATGCTCACTGGGTGAAGAGGAGCCATCCGGCATGGTGAAGCAAAAAGGCGCTGGGAGCCTGACGTGGCCAAAAAGCCAAACCGAAGTTTTCATGTAAAAGAGAACTTTCCTCTTCCCCTTCCCTCTCCCACTCCCAACAAAACGTGGTGGCTGGGGCTTTTTTTTGCCTGACCAAACACAGCAGTTAGGTTCCCTCCTCGGCGCTTTGTGCTAGGTCCACCATTATTTTGGCTCTTTGCCTGTAACAGGTTGGCCACCCCTGCTCTATGAAATGATGTCTCATGTGACACTTTCAAATTGTTATTCAACTTACTAATTAAAATGTATTGGTCTTCATGTCCTCTCTCTTTAAAAAAAAAAAACACAGGAAATGATAGTCATATTTGTTCTGGGATTAATTAAATGTCTGATTTCCTTTCCACAAGACTGCAAATACAGGCAGTCTCCGGGTTACGTACAAGATAGGGACTGTAGGTTTGTTCTTAAGTTGAATCTGTATGTAAGTCGGAACTGGCGCCCAGATTCAGCCGCTGCTGAAACTGACTGCCAGTTCTGACTTACATACAGAATCAACTTAAGAACCCCAGGCGTCCCCAAATTAAATGTCTGATTTCCTTTCCACAAGACTGCAAATACAGGCAGTCTCCGGGTTACGTACAAGATAGGGACTGTAGGTTTGTTCTTAAGTTGAATCTGTATGTAAGTCGGAACTGGCGCCCAGATTCAGCCGCTGCTGAAACTGACTGCCAGTTCTGACTTACATACAGAATCAACTTAAGAACCCCAGGCGTCCCCAAGTCAGGTGCTGCTGAAACTGATCAGCGCTGATTCCAGGAAGCCTGGGGCAGAGCAACTGGGGTGCTGCTGGGTTGCTCCAGTAGCACCCCTCGGCACTA